TTCTATTTCTTTCTTCTTTTTTTTAAAAAGAGATAAAGAGAAAAAAGTATATTAATTAATTTAATTATTTAACTGTTAAATTTTAATACAATACAAGTCATAGAAAATCTCAGAAAAAATACAGCATTATAAATTTAAATAATTATTCTAAAAAGTTACAAACCAGTCATTTTGACCGCTTTGTAGTTTTAGTGTTAAATAAATTTCTAGTGTTAAATAAGCATTGCTAAATATTAATAATATTAAATTTATTAAAAATTAATTAATAACATTAAACATAAAAATATAATATTTCCATATTTTATTAGAGTTTAAAAAATATTAAATATTTAATTTTGATAAAAAGATTGAATATATTTTATATGTGTATATTATAATGTTCGGTTTTATTATACTGACGCTATATTATAATATACACATCAAAAAACAAGTTGATAATATACACATCAAAAAACAAGTTGATAAATATCCGCAATATGAAGTATTTGAAAGTATAGTTGCCATTTTCTCATTGTACATTAAACTGCAATAAACACATAATTGAATTGATCATCAATGTACACATTTATGTAAAATTTATATTAGATGATTATTGATTATTAAGATACTTTATAATTCTTTATTGACTCAATTCCTACGAATAGATTTCTTGAAATAAACAATGTAAACAATGTAAACTATGTGTAACATGTCATTTATGTAAACAATGAGTGATCTATGGAATATATGGTTTGTCGAAGACTTCCCAGTCAGCAAAGTCTGTTTGAACAGATATTGCCAAACGTCCCTGATAGAAATATTTTGCTGAAAGTACTATGAAATCAATGAAAAGTAAAATAAAAGTTTTTGAAAAATTACTGAATATATTTCAAAATGAATCATAATTTTCCGTATGAAAATTTAATGTAATACTATGAAATATAAGGAAAGTTAAAATATACTGCTGAAAAATAATAAAAGAGTTTTGAAATATTAGACATTATGAAATTTACTGAATTAAACTGAAAACTGTTACTTTTTAATAAAAAATTGCTAAAATATTTATGAAATTAATTAATGGGGAGATTAAGAGAAATTTCCAAATACATTTCAGCAAATTTTCGTTATATTTTTAGAAAAATATTTCCATCAGGGGTCTGCTACAAATTTTTGTCAACAAAAAGACTGCAGATTATATACAAAACCTGTTACATCAGATGATGATAGCAGAATATCAGTAGAAATGTTACAAAACCTGCTGACATAATTTGATAACAGATCAGTAGCAGAAACCGAGCAGGATTCACTCGGAATTATTACAGCAGATTGGCGGCAGAAACCGAGCAGGACCTGTGCAACGCAGCTTGATATCAGATTGGCGACAGAAATCGAGCAAAATCTGCGCAGTGCAATTTGATGTTGTTCGCCGCTATGCGGCGTGTTTCTTCATATATAAACTCGTACTCAAGATTCATCTACAGTGCATATAAAGTGTGGCCAGTGGCTTAATTAAATTTATCAGTTTAATACAATAATCTGATGCAATCTTCATAAGAGATTCATAATATTAAACTGATTTTTGAAATTGAAAATCCGCCGCGAGTTGACCCGATATTGCAGTGATTTCGGGATTTGGCCTAATAAATTTATTAAAACATAAATATTTTTTTGTCCCAATAAAGCAAATATATATTACATACTTTGCACACCTCGTTTACTACTTTTATAAGTGAAACGAGAAATGTAAAATTGTAATAAAGCATTTAAATGTCGCTATTCCATTTAAATTGTGACAACAGGTTCTGCTCGATTTCTGCCGACAATCTGACATCAAATTACACTGCACAGATCCTGCTCGTTTTCTGCCGTCAATCTGCTGTCAACCTATGTCGGCAGGTTCTGCCAGCAGAACACGAACTTAATGCGGACACAGATAGCACCGTATCTGCTGCCAAGTTCTGAGTGAATCTGTTCGCAAACTGCCGGCAGACTGCTAACATTTTATTGACTGGGTTTCTTTATATTTCATTTTTTCTGTTACATGCTTTAAATATAACTACACAATTTTATTTTACCACAAAAAATGCCACGAAAAATCAACAAAAGATTTAGTGAACTAGATTTTATACTAGTGAAAAAGAAAAATAAATATTATAACGTAATAAAAAATATAAATTTAATTAAGAAACAAAATGTAACTTTTATTTAAACTTACTATGTAATGTAATAAAAATATAACCCAATATAATGTCATTATTGCACGCACACATGCATATACACATAACTTTTCAATTTTTAACATTATAAATATCTTCTTAATTGATACTAAAATTACATATACAGATACAGATACATTAACTATTTTATATAATATAATTACTCTTTTATTTTTCTTTAATTTTAAAAGATAATTACTCTTTCTTGCATTCTAACATCTAATTTATAAAGCTTACATAGTTTAAATTAAAAATATAGTTTGCCATGTCCACTCAAACGACACGGACCTCCAATATCATTTTTAGCAAACTGACTCGTTACACCGAATAGTTTTGGTTCTTAGTTTTTTAAAATAAGAAAGTTTACACGAAAACACAACATGACGGTACTGCTATGCATTGAGAATAATTGCAATCAACCACAATTCAAATCTTAAAAAGGACATCGTGTATGTTTAATGTAAAACATGATTTCCTTCCTGATGATCTTAAGATTGGTGTTATTAGAAGAGGCATGACTTTCAAGATGTGTTGTCCTTCTAAACAATTTTTAAATGTAACGAATATAAGAAGATTGTAATATCCGAATTAGTTTTATAAGTAACGATTGTTTATTAATATGTTCCGAATTTTATAATAACTAACTACTGAAGATGACCACAACCAGATGGTCGAAACGTCTAGATTGACCTAAACATTTGTTATAATATATTAATAAATTAAGCACGAAAATCCAGCTTGGGCTCTGTAGCTTGTTGTTAATAATTTATTTGAATAATTTGAGCCAATATTATATTTTAATTTATTAAAAAAAAATGCATATGAATTTGATTAACTGAAATGGACTTGTTCTTTTGAGGCCTCATAATGATATTGCGCCTAGGGCCTCCAAAAGTATAAATGTGGCCCTGTGTACAGCCCACGATCTAGCTACGCGCAACGCGCGATTATTCGTCAATCCCTTTTAATTAATATCTCAATTACTATTGCAAAAATTGCAAAACGGTAAAGGACTTTTCTATTCAGTTTACCGCACT